CGGGACACAGTGTGGGCTGCAGGCTGGGATCATGGAAGCTGGGATCAAGGCAGTACAGCCGGGGGCTACAGGGACTCCGCAGGGAATGCTCTGGATACCTGTGGAGTCCTGCTCCCCTCAGGATTCAGAGAAGCAGAGTTAGGCTCACCAGGCAAACGCAGCACTTTAAAAACACGCTGTGAAGGAATTTAAAAAGGGAGAGTTACCTTCTGTGCTACTCAGAGCTGCCAGCACTTGGGTTTGGAGAAAGAAAGGAAACCCTTAAGCCAAGCTCCATTTGTTAATGTGTTTGCTGTGTACACAAAACTAAGCTTGCTCGGGTCCTTGACCTTTTAATTTTAAGTAGAGGCCTTTAAAAAGAATACAGTGTTTCTGTAATACAATCAGCAGCGGCAAAGTACATGCAGTTACACGTTTGCTAGTAAAGTAGCCAATAATCTCAGATTTCCCATAAAATTGTGCCTAAACAACGTCTGCAAACAGAATAAAATTGGAAACATACACCAAGCTACATCTGTATAACAATACTGGGTCGCAGCACTAGTTCTCCAACTTATATTTAAGAAACAAAACACTACTTTTCCCCTCTCTCCAAACCTCTCCCGAGCATCCTTTCTCCCCCTCCTCCTCTCCCCAAAATGCCTTTAACAGGAAAAACTACACAGACAAAAACAACAAAGTCTACTTCTACCAGTTCGATTTTCCCTGAATTTTTACTGATGCATGTCTTTAAACCAACTTAGCACAGTCTGTTAGTTTTCCTCCCTAATTAACACTATCAGCCCTTCAAGAGTGTTTTCTGCGGATGTGTTAGGAGAAACAAACACGTTTGTGCCAACAGGAAGGAAAACAAACCCGAGAGAAACACCGAGATTACGGCACGTAAACCAAACCCAGATGCCTGGACGCGATGAAATGTCACATCTCAGCACCCACCGAAAAGCAACAAGCAACAACCGGCACGGGGGGACCAGGGGCACCCGGCCGGTAAATCGGCTTCGGTTCCGCAGGAGCAGCCGGGACGGGACGGGAC